AAAAGATACAAATACAATGTGTCAGATCAGATTTTGCATTTTTCTACACAGCAGTTGGATTTTTTTTGTAACTTAAAGGTGAGAGATCAAAACATTCATTAGTGGGAAAGCAATTCTAACACTGATTTGGACTCAAAAGTTCACGATTTGCCCGTAACATAGCAAAATACTTAGTGTCACCATATTTAGGACATCATACATTCAATAGTGCTTCACACCTTACTAGTTCAGAATATCTGGGCTGCTACCTAACATTCAAAGAACAACTGTGCATGTACAATTGTGCATCTTTGTACTTTTGCTGTTAGTTTTAAATACTTAAAAAGATACAATAATCAACCTGACACTGCAATAGTGCAATATTCTTGAATTTACACCCTTTTTCCAGTGTGTGTCTTTATTAATCTCATGCCTTAAGAGAAGGCAATGCAAAATCATTTAAAAAGTGAGTTCTCCAGGTGCTGCATACATTAACCTTTCCTTTAATACCTCTTCTGTACAATATTTTGATGATTACTGTCATATAGTAAACAGATTATGAAAATGCAGTTACCTGAGGGTCTTGTTTAATAATTTAGGCAAATTAGTTTTTAGAATTTATTTAATTGCTACATTCAATAGCTAAGTCACAACAAGCACATGGTCCCCAAAGCAGTAGCTTCTGTACAGTCTCATTTTCTGCAAGGGGGGCGGGGGAAGCAAGCAAAAAATGAAAGGGAAACAGAAAGAGAGACAAAAACAAAGAGGAAAAAAATTAGAAAGACCCCACCTGTGTGTGTGTATCTAATGATCAGAGACACCTTTCAGTCGGCGGCCGGCAGTTTAGGGTTAAGGGCCGGTCCAGGTGAGGGAAGCCAATGAGCGCCCGCCCGGGGCTGTGCCTGACATCATCCCGCCGGGGAGCGCCCAGCTCGGCCGGGGCAGCGCCCGCCGCCGCCCAGCCCCGCCGTGATGGATGTTTACAGCTCCTCCGTGAAAGCCAATTATCTCCCTTTTGTATGAGGCCCAGGGATCTCTAAGGCTGCCTGTTCGCGCACGGCACTGCTGGATCGAGCTGAAGCAATTGTTTTCCCTGTGTCTGGTAAGAGTCTGGTCTGGTTTGCCTTCTCTTCAGAATAAAGGTGATGCGCCTAACCTGGGAGGGGAATTGTTTTCATAGTTCAGAGGTTTATACGCCTATAATATGTAAAAAGCAGCTTTTTACTGGCAAAAAGGAGATCCTTTAGAAAGGGAATGGTTTTAAAGGAAAAACAAGTCTGTGCCTGGCAAACTCTACTTTACAATATGGAAATAAATAGCCTACATGTTTATGCTGCTCTTCAGGTGAACTAAAGAGTTATTAGACTGACAAGACCATTTCACAGAACCATCATTTAATACCTGTATTTTCCTTTCTTTTCCTTTAATACCTGTGTTTTTCCTTTGAAATCTAGCTTTTGTTGATGAACAAAGAAATGGGGAGATTGAAGAAGAGGGAATTTAATATTGTAACAACTTTAAAAAATGTCTGGAATACTTTTGCAGATATAAATCAAAACCTATGAATAGTAATACCAAGATGTTAAAGTTCCCAGTTCTGGAATTAGTTACAGTTACTTTGTTTTGCTAATTTCTGTGATTAAAGTGCTACGAAACTGAGTCAAAGATTCAGAGTGTTCAATATACAATATGCTGGCAGCAAAACACCCAACAGAGTTTTTTGTTTGTTTGTATATTTTTCCCACTTAGTTCTGTAGCTTGTCTTAAAAAATATCTCATTCTAGAGAGGTAGGTATATGAGTATAGACATAGAGGCTGAAGAACAAGTGTTTATATCTTTTGCATTATTAGCAGCTTTGTGGTTTGCACAGAGAGAGGAGGGAGAGGGAAAGGATTCTGTCTAACTTCCTAATTTTGTAACAGAATAAGTACATTTTAAAGCTTCTGAGCCAATGTGGATTTAAGAGATTAGAAGTGACACTGACATTGACAAATCAGATGCAATAAAGAATATAATTGACTGAAGGAGTTCAGGGGCTGCTCTATGAAGAATCCAATAACCAGTTTAACTAGTCAAGTAGTGTACCTAATAGGAAATAATAAATAGCAAGTTCCAGTTAATTTAAAAGCTTGATGACATTTACTTTATAGTGATTAGAATTCACTAGACCACTTAAGAACTCTCTGTATTTATTTCAGTAATCCATGATTATACAATCCATGATTATACAGTACAAAGTTTTGAATAATGACATATGCAGTGAGTATTACAAGTGCTTGTAAAATTGAGATATATTGTCATTCAACCCAGCTATGATTAGCTCTGCTCTAATCACTGTCAGAAGAGTAATAGTTATTTTCATCTCAAACACCACTTAAGACAGTAGGGCTTCTCAGCAGTATTACACTTCTCTTTACTAGTTCAGTCCTGTCTATGCAGCTCTTGGTATTTATCATTGTTAATTCAGCTCTGGATATTAATGTGCCAAACAATCCCAAGCTTCTTTTAAATGATATATCTATAATATGGATGGGGTTAGAAAAACATGTTTTTTAAAAGTGAAGCATTTATTATGCTTTGTTGCCTTTTTGCTAGCAAATTCCAGTTCAAAGGTGAGATGACCATGACCTATAAAGAAGAGGAGTATTTAACATTTTACTACCTTACCCTTCTTGCTTAATCATTATTGAACTAAAGTTTATTTTATGCTAACCTTGAAGCTATGCCTTCAATACTTTTTAATTAAAAAAAAAGTGTTTTCACCTCTCCCTCAGTGTTACATACTTACACACTGCATAGGTCCATCTCATTTATTTGCTTTTTTACTAAGCTTCATGTCAGATCTCACACTATTTCTGTTCCTACTCAGTTTAACCAAAATTAAAATATAAATTAATTACTGTTTTTTCTTCTAAAATACAGGATGATGCATATAATACAGATGTAACGCTCATTTGTTACATGCTCACAATGTTCTCATCTGAAGAATTCAAAGAGTGTTTTTAATAAATGTGTCCCTTTATGTACCAATGCACGTTGCTTTATTAGGTAGTAATCAGGGACCTAAGCAAGCCAAGGAAACTTAATGATATGATAATCCAAACAGATAGCAATCAACTTCTTGTAGGAAACGAGACCTTCTACTTTAGTTTAACCTTTCAAAAGGAAAAGAAATGATTTCTGGTAGACCACTTTACAGGGAAAATATGGGTGGATTTTTTTCCTATTTTCAATTCAAAACTAAGTTTGAGAGAAAAATATAAAGAAAAACATATCTTTTTGCATATAATATTGTTGTGGTCTATGTTTTTTTCTTTAAAATAATAAAGATAACTATGATAATGCTAGCACAAGGACTGCACAGCAGATTGACTATTGGTCTGGAAAAGAGTCCCTCTTGTCCAGTACTTGATCATACTCCATAAAGTCCATATTCCATCAATGATCCACCGTATTAAAGGTAGAATTAGTGTGAGGTTGCTTGATTGTATGCATAGGTCATTTTGTTTGTCTGATTTTCTATGAATGAGTCAACTTGTACATTTTCACAATAACATCAGGTAATAACACTTACAATGAAGATTTGACTCATTCCTCCTATGCAAGTTATTCGGTTTTCTTGTCAGATAATTTTGAGCAAAATGACAAAAGGAATTTCTTTTTTTTTACAACAATTCAATGCATTTAGTACTCCTTAAAGAAAAAAAAAGTGTCAGCTAGGCAGAAATATGACAATAACATCAATTGCTGAAAAAGTATCCATATCACCAGTAGTAAAAACTCAAACTAAAAATAATTCTTCTTCCTCTATAATTGGCAAAGGAATATTATCTTTAGAAAATACAAATTAAAGTAGTATTACATAAGTACATTTTCTTTTGTATCCAGTTTCAGGAAGTACGGGAGACAGAGGAGTTCTTTCATATTGGAAGCTTTGGTCCATGGGTCATGTTTTTGTTTTATCTAAGGTAGATTACAAGGAGGCTCCTCTCGGATCCTCCAAATTATAAAAACTGCCTTAAAACCTTGTGCTGCAACCATCCTTGCTGTTCATCACTGAGGTCCTTTATGTGTTAGGGTGCCAGGTGAGACTCAAGAGTCTGTTTTGTTCCCTTAACTTTTCTCTCTTTATATTCTATTACCCAAGCTGGAAAAAAAAAAATATCCTTTTCACCAAGTAATGACGAGGAGATTTTTTCTGCTTTTGTTTTTTTCCTTTTTCATTTCTCTCTTACTAAAGCCAGAGGCAACAGAGATTACAGAGAGTATTTCTACTGTGTGAAAAGTCAGAGCAAATCTGCATTTGTCCCTCAAACTCATGGTTTTCCTTTGGAAAGAAATCCAGATGGACTGATGTGGAGAACGCACCTTGGAGTTCTTCAATAGGATACCCATCTGAATGATGAAAGGACCAGTGATGTAAATTATGCATTTGTCAGACAGTACAGACAATGACAACTTTTTTTGTTTTCTGTTTCATTTTGAATCTGAAATGAAGTCCAATGAATGTCCTGGAACCCTATAAAGATTGTACTAAAAGGCGATCATGGTCAAGGACTTATAACTCAGATTTCGAGGTAGTTTTGCAACTTCTAGATCTATTCCCTACATATAGCATGGTTCTTTTTGTTTCCATAATAGTGTGTTTCCACGCAGGAGTGTGACATTGGGAATGGATAGAGTCAATCCTACATGGTTTAGTGAGGGTGATATCAGTTTTGGCTAATTTTAGCCAGGAGGTTTCCTCTTATAATCTGTGGAGAGAAAGAGGTATCTCTGAAAAAGACTTTATCTCATCATTAAGATATCTATTTTGGATAGATGAGCTGAATTGCTCTCTGGAGGGGGAAAATTCACTCCATATAGACAACCTCTTTGAATACTTTCAATTATGTGTTGAACTTCTTGGCTTTTAAATATTGTTTAATTAAGATCTCTTATATTTCTGAGTATCAGTGAATCCCACAAGTAGCATAAATAATAAATGAACAAACAATAATTATACTTATTATTTGCTGTACTCCTGAGTCAGTTATGATTTCTGCAATTGATGGACTCTGGACTTCATCTCTGCAGTGGTAGGGGTGTTGACCACAGCACTTGGTGCAAGACTTTGAGTTTCCACAGGTATTTGCTGGAAGTCTGGTCCACTGGTATTTGCAGGAAATGTAAAAGTTTGGGAAATGTGGATCCATACCTGGCAACAGGAAGAAACAAGTTCCATCTTTTACATTCATTCAAACGTTGTCTCTCATGCTTAAGATTCTTCTTATTCCTCTCTATGACCATTTGTTTACTTGCTGTCAGAATTATTGGAGACTCTATCTATTGCTCGCGTGCACTGCATATATTCATACTATTACAACTTGGCTAAATTAGTTTGATTTTTTTTTCCCCCTAAAAGACACAGATATCACACATGGTTTTTTTCTCCTGACAGTCTTCAAGTCACTCCATTAACATTGGGAATTCCTCAGACATTCAGAGTAGTGAGCATGGACAAAGAAGTGTCACTTGTCTAGTCTCATTCTCGGACAACAGCATCAGGTGTCTAGAATCTATAACTTCAGAACAAATGGTCATTGACCACAATGATAAACAGTTCATCCTTCATGTTATCGGACCATCCTTTTTGGATCAGCTTCTATGCAGGAGTTCTTAAGCAATCTTCTAAACAGTGTGATAGTTTACTCTGCCCCATTGCATACATAAAACAGCCTGGATTATGTAATTCAGTAGATCCTTCATCAGGCCGTGATTTTGGTTGAAATATTTTGTTGCACTTTAAAAATACAGGCATGTAAAATAGTAAGAATATATCAATAAAACTCACATCATTCCTCATAAATCCAGACATGGAGCTGGGAATTACTGTTTACAATATATTGATATTTTGCTTATTAACTATCAGAATCAATCTCTTCATAAACTTTGGATTTTAGGATCTCGACTTTCTTAGAATGTTAACTGATTGAGAAGTGAAGGATTATAATGGATAAACAAAAGGTGGAAGTGTACTTTCATCAGAGAAAAATTAGAAAAGAATGTAAAAAAGTTCCTCCTATCTCTGGCTTATAAATTTAAAAAATAAATATTGTGGCCAGAATTTCAAAGAGTAAGAAGATTTACTGTTTCCTGAATGAAGCATAATCTAAATAACCTATTACAATCTATCATCATGGAATAATACTACATTATCACTTGCAAATGAGAAGTATGGCTTTCATAGTTGCCAAGCTGTACTTATCCACATCTGATGGTCCCCATTAATTTTTAACAATTGTCCTGTCACCAGACCGGTGAGCTGTGGAAAGTCCTGTGGAGATGTCACGTTCTTTGATGATTGCAGTTAATGCTGCTGCCCCTCTGAATCAGCAGGAAATGTCGACATTTTTATGACTGAATCTGCAATTTGGGATTTGATCATGCTATTTATAGTATTGCTAATGGTCTGTAGCACTGACAAGGGGTGTGTTGAAGTAATTCTCTAAGTCACCCTTGTTTTCAGTTGTAAAGGCAGAACAGGCATACATCTGGATCCTACATTTCAGTAACTGGACAGAAAATAACAGCACAAGGAGGTCGTGACTTTCACTGCTGAAAGATTTTAATAGGCTTGTTTTCCTTTTTTTTTTAAATGTCTGTTGATTTTTTTTTTTAACCATATTGTTTCTAAGAAAAAGGAGCAACTTATTTTGATCTAGCTTCTAGAAAGCCAGTTGCAGTCACATGGTAAAATGAAAGTAAGCCTAGTGACATCTCAAGAAAGTAAAGTTGAACTAAAAAACCAGCTGTATATGGGTTTTAAACTTACTGTGTTTACTATATTAGTAAAATGAAATTTTCATTTTTTATGAAAATACTTCAGAAATACTTCCTTACTTCTGAAAAAGAATGGTTTACTTCCAAGTCCTCATTTTGTTTCTAAACACAATTTCTAAAATGTGTGGTATCTGGTCTGTTTTAATTTTGAACCTAAAAGAAAGGTTATACACTATGAAAACCAATATCTGGGAAGAATTCCTCTCAAGTTGATAACATTAGAATACTTAGGAGATTGCCTGATTTTTATCCCTCTCTGAAAGTGTATCTGAATCTGATCATGCCCAATAGTTCCAAAATTATCAAGAACTGTATTTAATGCCAAAGTTCTCATTATTGCTGCTGTAGCCAATGTGTAAAGAAGAGTAGGAATTATAGTATCTTGCTTCATTGTTTCATCTTAAAATTCTCATAGAATCATGGGAAGGGAAAAAACAACAGCAACAGCTAAGTATACTAACGATCCCTGGAAACAGTGCTTGATTTCCTACGGGTTTGTGTCCCTTAATTAATTAACCACTTTAGTGATTTATACTAAGATTTCTTTTTATCTTTCCATATGCTTGTTAAAATTAAGCCATCCTTCTCCCTGCAGGACTAGCAAGTACTGGCTTGTGCCAACTCATTAGAATGAAGCACTATCACTAGCATACCAGGAGAGCTGTGTTTTCTCACTTCCTCTCAGCATCCTCCAGCACAGAGCACAGGAAGTAAGAGATGGGTATGCTCTGAACTGCTTTAATTGGCACTAGAGAATTGTCCTCTAGATGTCTAAATTTGGTGTCCGCTACTACATTCAAAAGTTGTTCTGTGGGGAAGATGATTAGGTCTGTTTTTACAAGAAAACAGGGGGGTTGTGTTTAAATGTATGCAAACTAGAAGTGTATCACTAAAGCTCTGAGAACTTTAATTTACTGAGGAAATCCCTGGAAAATGGATGTGTCCTCTTCCATAGGGGTGCTGGAAAGCAGTTGGAAATTTGCAAGTTTTAGAACAGCAGTATAGAATGAACCACAGAAGTATTACATTTTATGGACACTGTGTTATGAGGACACAATTTTTAAAATATGTCCAGAAACATGCTAAGCACTTAATCTGTACTCTAGTATATCTTTTGAGGTTTTACAGTAAGTCTTTCTTATATACTAATTTAGCTTTCATGACTATGATTTAGTAAGACTTTGAAATAAGGTCTCTATCAAATCCTTTATTATGGGTTCTTGGAAGTAGTAGTAATACATTGAAATCTTTCCAGAACAAGTAAAACTTCTAAAAGCTGTAGTTATCTACAAAGGTTAATTTCTTTTTTTGGTGTAGCCAAAAGTTTCTGAAAGGTAAATGTTTCATTCCCAGTTGGGTCATTGTTTCTCCCTGGCATCTGACAGAGACCTTTAGGTTTTTTCCTAATTAGAAGTACAGAAGAGAATAAGCAGACCCAAATCCTCATAGGGCTTGTTAACTTCCTTCCTGTGACAGACAGAGAGAGGAGATATCTCTTTCTTGCATACCTGCAGCGAATTCCCTCTTGGGCCTCACGGTGTTCCACACTGGCACTACAGTAGGCTCTGAACTCTAGGAGAGCTATACTAAAAGAAACAGTTACACTGGCTTTGCTAAGAGTTTCAGAAATTCAGGAGTCACAAAGGACTGTGACAGACAGTTATAATATCATTTATATGAACAACCATACTTAATAATACAGATAATAGGAGATAATTGTCAAGGTTCCACCTGCTTCATGCCTTCAGATACATTCAGAGACTAGAAATCCATTCATTTGTACTGGAATCACTCTTCCTTTCAGGACACCCTTACTCATTTTCAGTTATTTGTTTGCATTAGAAAGCTTACTTTTAATGTGGTTTTTTGGTTTGTTTTTTTTTTGGGGGGGTTGTTTAGTTTTTGGGGTTTTTTTCTTTCATTAAGTGTGGGTGAACAGCAGGATTATGAAACCTGGAAGGAACAGCTTTAGAAGCAGGCTCATTGCAGCGGCAGCCTCCTGGGACCGAGCGAAGCAGAAAAGCAACAGCTTGCGTTTTTATTGTACGGGTTTCCCTGAGTTATGTATTTCCCCTGGTCCATGCGGCCCCCCCACTCGAAGCCAGGTGCTCTCCCCTCCCCTGATTGTGGATCCTTGTTGTGCCCGCCTCCCCTCAAATCCCTGCCTCGGTTACTGGAATGCGGTCCTCCTGTACCTCCCATTGGTCCGTGGGCTCTCAAGCCACTCCCCTCCCCCCGTATCTCGATCCAATCATAGCCCTCCTTCTTCCCCTCCCCCCGAACCCTTATAAACCGCGGGAGTTTTAGAATAAAGGTCTTTCTGCCACGGAACGCCTGGAGGAGCTTGGTCTCTTTCTCCGCCTGCCAGAGGGGGACAGCGCGACCGAGCTCCTCTCCGGGAAAACCGACAATTAAGCATTTCTCATTGGGTTTTTTTTTTCCCTTGGTCATGTGTACTATGCTCTATAGTATATCTCAGGGACCATACTGCATTTGAAGTAAAAGCTTTTAAGCAGCTCTGTTCCTGTATTTAAACAAGATGACAGGAATCTTGAAATTGAATTGCACATCGAACACTTGAGTTCTAGGCAGTCTTCAGTCTGAAGGAGTTGAACCCTCTATTGTTGTATTTACAGAATCATATCACAGACACTGGCACGGGGCACTTCTCACCCAGCCAGTGGAATCTGAGATGTCGTGCAACCATAGTAATACACGAATAGAGGTTTGCTAGTTATGTGGGAAATCAAGTAGCATTATAGTTGTAGTACTCTGAATGACGAATGCTGGATTATTTTTGGATTTTATCCAGGGAGCGTTTAGTATAAAACATGCAGACAATCTAGAGTTGCCTGCAGAACCAGGGCAATACATTCCAAAGAACATACTGCATAGAAGATGCATTCCCTGGTGCACACCATAGGCTTTGTGCGTACATTATGGCCATGATCTCTTTTGACTTTGGGATGAGAACCCCAGACCTCTGCATCCCTCATTCCCCACTGAAGGAAAGATCCTGTGCCCCACTGCACACTCCAATGGCTATTGAGATCTGGATGACTGGGGACTGATGCAAAGCATAGACTGCCCCACAGCTAGACATGGTACTGTTTGTAGACAGTCTGATGTGGCTCTATGCTCAGCATATGAACTTCCTTAACGATCACTCAAAGACACTTACAGATAAGGCATATAACATAGGCAATCATCATTGCTTACTAATCACCTGTATTTTTTGTAGTCTAATACTGAAACTTACTGACTAAAATAAACAGCCTGATTTTGACCTTATGCACTATGAGAAATGTTACTCAGAGAACATATTAATCTTCTTCATTCTTTCAATATTTTGATGTCACTTTTAAAGTCTTTGCTTAAATCATAAAAAGATACTTTTATGGTGTTAAGTTCTTCCACACTGTTCTGTCTTCCTTACCTGTACGTCTACTTTACTACTCTTTAGATCTTAAAATCAATGAATAAAGTTATTCTATGAAGGACAGAATAAATAAAGAGAGTTTGAAGATATTTGATGTGGTGTCTTTCCCTTAATAAAGATTTGTGATTACACTACTCATCTGCAGACTGGGATAGGGACACAGGAAAGACCATTAGTTCTCACACATTTCTTTAAGCAATTATTGTTGAAGAAAAAACTTTAAGTTCTAGCTAAATGCAAAGATGACCTAAAAGATATTTGTCTCTTTGGAAAGAAATTGGTTGGTGATATACTAATAGGAATGCTTTCTAAAGTGTTTATGTTTCTGTGCAGTTAGGTTTTTGGGTACAAACAAATTGGTGTTGGGTTATGAGGCAAAATAAGGAATCTCTCTTTTTGCTTCACCTGACTTCACCTTTTTTGAATGTATGGACTATGAAAAGCAACATCCTCTTTCTGCAATATGAATCCACTTTTGTTCTCAGACTAATGTTTCTCTGGCCAATTCCAGTGTATGCATTTCCTTAATATCTCTATCCTTGTATTTCTATGGCCAAAATTTGTCAGTCTAGAATTTCAGATTCTTGAGAATTATAGAGATCAACTTGACTTTTTTAATTTCCCGTTGATTTCCTGTACCCATTTTGTGTTGACTAAAAGTCTATTTCCAGCCTAAATTGCCAATTGTATTCTGCATAAAAAGAAGTGTGGTCAGCAGGTTGAGGGAGGTGATTTTCCCCCTCCATTGTGCTCTTGTGAGACTCTCACCTGGAGTACTACATCCAGCTCTGGTGTCCCCAGAAAAAGGGAAGACATGGGCCTGCTAGAGTGGGTCCAGAGAAGGGCCATGAAGACGATCAAAGGGCTGGAATACCTCTTCTATGAAAAGAGGCTGGGAGACCTGGGGTTGTTCTGCCTGAAGAAAAGAAGGCTCCAGAGAGAACTCATTGCAGCTTTCCAGTACATAAAGAGGGCTTATAAGCATGATAGCAAGAATTTTTACCAAGTAGTGATAGGACATGGGGTAACATTTGCAAATGGAAAGAGAATAGATTTAGATGGAACATGAGAAAATCCTTTACATTAAAGGTGGTGAGACACTAAAAGAGATTACCCAGAGAAATTTTAGATGCTCCACAGCCCTGGAAGTGTTAGGGGCCAGGTTGGATGGGGCTTTGATCAACCTGATCTATTGAATGATGTCTCTACCTGTGGCAGTGGATTTGAACTAAGTGATCTTTAAAGGAGGGCTCTTTCAATCCAACCATTCTATGATTCTGTAATTCTCTTGAGTGTTTCTATCTCCCTCAATGAAAGTCCATTGGATTAAGGGCATATACTCTGTGATTAATAGTTTTCAAATTACATCTTTTAATGAGCCACCAGCAATACCCATGCAAGTGTCTCTTGGGTTGTTGTTGTTTTGTTTTTGTTGTTTGTTTTTTAATAATTGTCTGTTCCACTCATTCGACATTAACTAATTATTGCAAGTATTTCTTCAAGATATTAAATTGATTTCAAAATGATGATTACAATGTTTACCTGTCAGCATAACAGGAAACACTTTAAGGAGATCCTTGGCAACTGGTAAGGCAATGCCTGGAGTACTGTGTCCAATTCTGTGTTCCCCAGTACAAGAGAGACATATTGGACAGAGTCAAATGAAGGACCACAAGGATGATTAAGGAAATGGAGCATCTCGTCAATGAAGAAAGGCTGACGAGTTAGGACCGTTCAGCTGGAGAAGAGAAGGCCTGAGGGGATCTCCAAAAGATCTTTATACCTTCCCAGAAGGGAAAGTATAGAGGACAGAGAAAGGGTCTTTTTTTCAGTAGTGCTCAATGACAGAACCAGAGGCAATGACCACAAATCAAAACACAGGAGGTTTCCTCTGAACATCAGGAAACATTTTTGTACTGTGAGGGTGATTGAGCACTGGGACACACTGCCAGTAAGCATTTGCGAATCTCCTTTCTTGGAGATATTCAAACACCAGCTGGACATGATCCTGGCCAACCAGCTTCAAATGGTTGTGTTTGAACAGGGTAGTTGAACCTCCAGTTGTCCCTTCCAACCTCAATTCTTATCTGATTTTGTGATTCTTAATCTTTTGAGGATCCCTTAAGACACTGGTTGCTTTTTGCTTTGGGCAAACAAATTAGAAAAATAATAGAAATTATTGACTGTGAAAAATTGAGGTGGGACCAGATGCCCCAGTGTGTGTTGGGTCCACCTTATCCATTCTGTGATTCTGTAATACTTAAGACTGATAGAATTTTGGGGCAGTTTCTCAAAGCTACACAGCTTCAAGTATGTGATTTGCCTCCTTCAGCTGTACAAAGCCCACTGATTTTGTGGACAGAAAGATTAGGATCTAATAATTGGTTGGTGGATCAGCGGCAACATGTGAGAGGTGATGCTCTTTCCCTGATCATTTAGAACAGGGGTATGACGCACACACTCAGTGCTTCTTTCGTGGCCTGGGTTTCCCTGTGTCTAGATTTTATCAGGAAATGCATCCATATGCAGCCTGAAAATGTGACTTATTACTTACATTGACTAATTGAATCAATAATATTTTAGATTTGCTGATACACAACTGAACATTCTTCTCATGATCAGCAATCACTCAGAGCCTAGAAACCTGAAAAACATTTGTTTCATTCAGTACTTGTGCTCTGAGCAGCGCTGTGTAAGCCAAACCTTTGTCTTGCACAATGACTGACTGCAAATCACTCACATCAACTCTTCTTAAATTTATGGTTCACCTGCCCTTTTCTCATTTTCTTCGTTTTCTAAAACTTCACTTCTTTTGTAATAAAACCAATCCATTAAAATGCAGAAAACACTAAAAAGAATCGATTAAAATGCAGAAAACGCTAAAAAAGAAAACAACAATGGTAAGTATCATTTACTTTCTTAAAACCAACTCAATTTAAACATTAATGAGACTCTAACAGTAAATAGACTATTGTATGTTTTATAATATGGAGATATTATGAATATGAGGTCTTGGAAAAACTTGCTTGAAAGAACTTGTTAAAAGAAAAAGAAAGTTGATGCTATTACTGTTACTTTTTTTTTTCATTCTGATTTGATTTGGTGATTAGTGAGGTAATTCAGGCGGGAATTACCTCAGGAGTTTTGTTTATGTTGCTTTCCAGTTTAGTGCCAGGTTGCAGAGGTGACAACTCTTTGGTGGCCCAATAAGGACCAACTTTAGTAATATGGATATGTATTTCTGTAGCACTGCACTGTCTACTTTTACAGACTCAAGATTTGATAGGATTTATAAGGTATTAGATGAAATTGAAATTTCCAATTTCATCACAAGTATCATTACAATATAGCTTCAGGTTTACAAAAATAATTTGGTCATCTGAAAATACTGCCTATATAATACCAATTTTTGTGCTAATGTGAATTTCCAACTGTGTAAAGCAGAAGTGTAGGTAAATTCAATTTAACACGCCTAGAGGCACAGGCTTACATACTCCTTTCAGAATCTAATCAGTTATTCATTCATGAATCTCATTTTCTTTAGTCGTATCTACATACTTTACACTTCAACCTTACACTGTCTTAACTTCCAAAATTCAGTATTCAGCTATGAACAGTGAAAAAGGTCTGATTGGTATCCAAGATATCCCAAATAAGCTATTTGTAGTTCATTTCCTCCCTCAAAGAGAAGCTGTTTTCCGAAGAGAACATGTATTACTTGTCTTCTTTTCTATGACAAATGCTCATTCTCTTCCACACCTTCTAATAATTTTTGAACTTTTTACCAGGTTTAACAGAGAAAGCCAAAGTTTAGATAAGAACATTTCAAGATCTGTGAAAACTAATTGCAGAATGCAAAGATTCTGAAAGAAAGGCAGAAAAACCTCACTGTGTATTGACTGGCAGAAGACAGTGCACAACTAGCACATGCAGACTGGCTGGTGAGGTGGTATGCCTAAGGCTTCCATCTGTCTCATGGCTAGCAATGATGTCACAAATGTCCGTTTATGTGGAGATGACTTAGCAAAGAAAAGATACACACCTATAAGAAATATTTTCATCAGTTCAGTGCCAAGAACAAATTTTTCCTGCTAAACATTCTTGCCGATCTGTGATTATTCAAAGCATATTTCTTCTCACTTGCATTTCTTGACCAATGTTTTAATACTTTTCTTTCCTTCCTCCTCTTTACTCCCTCAGTCCTAACTTCGCCCTTTACCATTTTATCTACTACTTAGTCATATTTGTTCTTGTTCCTTCTCTCCTGGTGATGATGTCTTCAAATTTTTCTATTGGTTGTCAGCTTGCAGCACGTGGACCATAGGTTCAGAGATGTCAGAAAATGGTATGTGAGATGCTGAGTTGTTTTTTTAATCAGACACATTTACACACAGATTCAAGTTAAGAAGCAAACCAGAGAAGGTCTCACAATGTAGTTGCCAGTGTGCACTGTATGCAATTTTTAATTTTTTTTTATTCTCTAGAATTCTCTTTGAGGATCCCGTTTGACCTGGAGTTACAGACACTATTTTTTTAATCTCATGTGCTAGCACAATTCTTCAGTGCACTAAACAAATACTCTGCTCTTATGCTGCTGCAATCTAGAGTGTTCTAGATGAGTTTCTAAAATTCCCTCTATGTTCCATCTACGAAAGAATATGTAATATAAGACAGAGTCACCTGTGGATCCTCTTCCAAAGTTTGAAACTTATAGGGCTTAGGTTTTAATATTTGGATTGAAATTTTTTAATGATATCAGGTCCATCTGATTTTTTAATTATTTTTTATTTTAGTATTTCAGTTGCATTATGATGTTTACAGGCAAAGAGAAATCAGGTGTGTCTATGTAGTACTGTCTGTACTATGCTATAAGCTAAGCAAAAGCTGTGTGGCTTTCTTGGTGCTGGATAGTAATTTCTGTCATAAGGTAGTTACAATAGTCAAGACATAACCATCCCAACATGGTCATATAATTTTTAATTGATTAAATAAGGTGGAAATTTTTCTTTCCTTAACTTTAACCTTTGTATTATGGCTAATAGTATACAGCTACCTTGATTTGATAACAGAATTATAAACTCATCTCTAATTCACCAGGGATTGAAAATCCTATTTCAGGAAAGCTCAAACCTCTCAAAATTCATTGCTATCACATTTCACAATTGGACTGAACTCTAAGACGTTTTTAACACACTGTAAATAGTGAAGGGAAATCTGATCTCCTGCACTCCAGAGTGACTCTCAAAAGTAATGAAGCTGAAAATTTTGTGAGCAAGAGTGTAATTTTTCCAAGTGTCCCAGTGAATATGAACTTTTTTCTTTTGAAGGTTTGAGAACTGAGATATGACTAAAATGTGTACAAGAAACACATTTCCATTTTTTAAACATAATATAGAATTGAGTTCTTTTCTGACTCCTGAATATTAGATTCATTATGTCAGCCAAATGAAAGAAGAATATGTATTCAATCAGTGTTGAAACATAAATAAGAGGCTATAAAATCTCTTTATTTGAAAGGGCAGATTTCATCCTCAGCACAAGACAAAAATAAAACAGAACTTAGCAGTTGAAGTCAAATTCTGCTTCCATTGGAAATGAACTTCAGCACAGGATTTTTTTTTTCTGTATAGGGCATTTTTTTGTATACCAGAGAAATTCAAGAACATCTTTCTCTGACCTTTTCCACAGATTAAATGAGGTGAAATAAATTATGGTATACAGCATATTGACTGCAAGTTTAAATTCTTGAATCAATGAATTTTCCATTTAGTAGTATGAAAATATGCTTTCTGACTGAAGTTGCAACTAGTGTATTTTTGTTATATTTCTCACTGAGTGCTGCAAGTGTTTCTGAGATTAATAATTAAATTTTTATGAGCTGGAGGATATCCTAGTACAAATATTATAAATTGTGTAGATGATAAGGACATTTTTTTAAGGAACTTTTAATTTAGAGTGTCCTTTTGCAAGAAAATTAATTTTAGATGTATCAGTTGGAGGTTTTGATTGAATGACAAATACGGAAATAATTGCCTGTACTGCTCATGTAGCTAGTATCTCATTAGCTACCATATTTCCATTGACCTAAACTAAATTTAGGAGTTGGGCTGTTCAGTTTGTCATTATCTATGAAGTTATTTAATCTAGAATTGAGTTTGAGTGTAGGAATTCTTTATGTTCTTCTTTTCCTTTGCTGAGTGTGGATCACTTCAGTATCTGTTTTGGTTTCCATATATTCTTACTGTCAGATACAGCATACAAGAAAAAAAGAATGCCTCAGAAGTGCTTAATGAGATTGCATGCTCTTTCACCATCTACACATACATATAGAAGAACAATTTCCTTCTGTCTAAATAAAAATAATCTTAAAATAGACTTGTTGTTCTGTTACTAGGTAAAAAAAAGGACATTAGCTGTTTTGTAAACATGGACATATTTGTCTAATATCTGACAAACAGCAGAGAGCGAATTTCTGGTATGGACACTTGATCCTGTGCAGAACTGACATTTCAGACAGTAATGGCTTCTGTAAAATCATTTTTTTTTTCTTCTAAAACATAAACATATAACCGGAGAATAAAAATAGCACAGTAATTAATGCTGAAAAGAACCACGTAAAATAAAAAATATTCTTAATAGTGTGAAAACAAAAAGTTATATCTTTAATGAATCCATTAACTCTAAAATGCACATCAAAAAGTCTTACTTTGTTTCTCCTAAAAAAAAATCATTCAAGGTATGAATATGTCTGTGATCTGTTGTAATAAAAGCACATCTGATATTGTTGGAAGAAGTGACATCTTGGATCAGAATAGGATTGGCTTTTGCCTTAAAAATGTCTGTTGATGTGTTTCTAAATCTTATAACAGAAGAAAACAATTAATTCAATGGGTCAGCAGACATCGCAATTTTCCAACCTCACTATTCTCCTCTCTAGGAACTGCATTAATTAAGACTGTGGTAGGGGTGAGAAAGGAAGAAGAAATCTTCATTCTGTCTTCTGAGATGGAAAAATGACAATTATTTATACTGAGAATTTTGGAAAATGGTTTCCTGAGTGGCATGTTTACAGAACAGTCTTTGTACTAAAATGTTATGGTAATGTACTGTTTTCTTAGAATTAAAGCTGTTATATCTTTCATGGGTCCCAACACCAACTTCCAGTAGTGATGGCCTCACTCAAGACAGCTTGAGTTTCCATTCGAGTCTTTATTAGTCCGATAATCAATTCTGTCATTTGGTAGCTGAGTGAACTTGATGTGTGTCCTACCCAGGACTGAGTTTCTTTATGTACAAAGTGGAGATAATATTCTTGATATATGTGCATGTTTCAGGGACTAAATAAACATCTGAATAATATCCTGAGAGATATAAAAGAAAGTTCTATGTAGTACTCTTTGGGCATATTGCATCATAAAATAGGGAATTAAGGATGAAAGTCTGTCTCCAAAATTCTATCTAAATTGCTTTTGATTACTTGCTTTCCTGAATGTCCAGAATGTTGGCAATTTTCTGGAGGACACACCAAGTCCAGATTTTCCAACTTTGACTTCCGTTGGGGGTCATTTATGAATTTAAGATTTACTTTAATCTAATACTTTGTAGCAAATATATTATAAGGTGGTTTTCTTTCTCCATATAAAAACACAAAATAAAAACCCCAACAAAAATAAATGGTGGAAATAAGATTTGGATGACCATCCTAGCGCAAAAACTTAAATAAACCATATTTTAAATGAGTATTTCCAAAATCGTTAAACACCAGAGGGAGATTATATTTGTTTTGAACTGATCTGTCTTGTTGCTTGAAAACGTGTGAGGGGAATGCACCAATGTATGTGCTACCAGAGTGCTCAGTGGTAAAAGAGTTCTGGTGAAAGCCTTGTGCAACTAATGTGGAGGTGATACAGTGGGACATTCTCTTTATTCTAAGCAGATCAGCCAGAGAAATCAGAGGGAGCACTAATTCTTGAGGAAAAAGTAGAAACCCATGCTTTTAGTCCTTGTTTTCATCAACATTTCTTTGTCTTTTGTGACTTTGAAGGTCATCTGTGACCTCTAAGTTCTTACCCAAGTCCTTCAGAGATCACAGAGTGAAGAATGACTTCTTGAATTTTCATAATATTAAGACAGCAGAGCTCCACCTAAGTGTGATTGCTGTCTTGACTAGCAGACCATGTTGCTATTTTATTATTGTCAGAAAACCTCACTCATTCAGACTAATGACTGAGAAACCCATTGCAAGTTACTGAAATATGCAAGCTGGTCAAGCAAACAAGGCTAACCCTCTTTTGCCGCTTTCTCCCTCATCCCCATGCCCCCACCCAAACGTACTTGATTCATTGATCTGTAACAAATGGTTTTAAGCTCATTTTCCAAACTTCAGAAAACGGAGTGGGATTGCAGCAGACTGACAATGATTAAAAAAAAAAAAACAAGAAGGAAAGAAACATTGTAAAGAGGATGAGTACATGTGCATAAGACTATGTGAGAATATTTGTTATGAACAGTGCAGCAGGCTCGCACACATCATTAAAAATTACAGCACAGGCTTGTAGCTGTAGAATTTGCACTGCTCTACTGTTATAATTTATTTCTTGTTTTGTGATAGTGCCCAGGAGTCCAGTGATAGACTCCAAATGAGCTTCATTCTCTGTTACGCAGAACAAAGAAAGACTCTCTGTCCTCATTTATCTCATTATGAATTGACTAAGAGCTTTCTACATTCTTATAAAAGTTTTAATGTAAAAGTAATTTTAATTATTTCTGATTATTAAAGTATGATGGTAAGTTAGGAATGAAACACTTTGCTAGAATTAATGGCAATTAACTGTCACTGTCTTGCAAAACCTCATGGGAGCTGGAAACGAGATGTTTTTCAATACTAATTAGAAATGAATCTTTCTTTCCAATTTCAAAATAAGCTACAG